ATTAAATAAAAATTAAGTACTTTACTATAATCACTAAAAAAATCAGGCTTAACTCTCATCGACAATTGAGGGCAAGAAAAAAGAAGATTAGGTAAAATAAGTAATAACAATATAAGTAAAATTGTTTACGAAACACGCATGCGAGCAGCTCGTGGGTGATGTAATTCGATAGCATAACATGAGCTGCATGTTCCCCGAGTGATTTACAACTTATGGCACAGATAGCAGTTAGACATGGTTCATAGGGCAATAAAACAATATAATTTAGTTATAAATAGATGCATAATGTTACGAACATAGAGCTACTTAGGATAAACAAATGTAGTTTCATGTTGCAATTTGAAGTCATACTAGAAAGAAAAGAAGGTTAATTTAGGTTTATTTCAATTGTTTTTGGTGGTTACGAGGTCAGTCGAAATGACTGATCCCATTTTGTGATTAGGGTAGAGAAAATAACATATAAACTATAAGAATTTAGTGAAAAAAAACCGTTTGAAATGCATTTAGGAGGTTTTAGGGATTACACAAAGGAAATCTGATATTTTTGAGATGGCGAAAAGTATTTTTAATTTAACATGAAAATTACTTTGCACACGGACTATTCGAAACAAATACTCAATATATTCATGAACAAAACTTTATTTTATTAAATGTACTTCACTAAGAAATATGACTTTTTGTATATGAAAGACATGTAATATTACCCGAAAGACTGCCAAATTTCATGAAGATGTACCCAATATATAGTGAATTATAAGTATTAAATTGATGTCAACTTTAAACGAGTACAGAAGGTCACGTGACTCGGTCAAATTGACCGACCCAGTGTCGAAAGAGTTAAAGAAGTACTGTTACAATAAAGATACTAATTTCACCAGAAATGTTTTGCAGGTTTCTGCTAGTAAAAATAAACATTAATGTATGCAGTATCAAAACCTTAGTATTGTTTTAGTCAATGGCTATTGTATAAAACTTAACCTACTCTTCATTTACTCATTTTCCTAAAAATGTAATAAAAAAAAAGTTAAATTTAAAACTTCATCTTGCATATGTGAAGATTCAGATAAAACAAGTTAGTTTCTTTTTTTTTATCAGTGTGTAAACTGAAACAACTTTCACTTCTTATCTGAAGAATTAACAAGATCACCTAAAGTATATTTTTTATTGTGTGTGTGTTCCAATATGCTAACCCTTAGAGTAAGTATAGTGTCAAATTTCAGCATTGTTACCTTACTTTAAAAAAATCCAATGGCAAATAGTTATAAATGTATTCAAATGAACTTTGTATTAAAAAAATTTAATAACTAAATGCCTTTTGAATTAAGCTAATGTTGTATGCTGCTTTTCCATACAACTTTCCCAACTGAAGTTTAAAACAATGATAACATATCACTGTTTATATACGGAAATGTACATTGTGAGCTCTATTTTACCGTGCCCTCTCCACAACGTAATGGAAAATGGTCTGTAACTTTGACTATGAAGATCTAGCTTCAATTTTGTGCTCTAACTAAGGTTAACAAAAGTTGCAAATTTTAAATTTTTATCTAATGTGTGCATTAGTTTAAACTTGCAGCTTATTAAAACTATTCATGTTAATTTTTCTTTTCCAGTCCATATCATTATTGCTACTCCAGGAAGAATATTAGACTTAATGGAGAAAAATGTAGCTCAGATGGACAAATGCAACATGCTAGTCTTAGACGAGGTAAAGCTATATATTTATAGTGTGGAATGACATCTTAGTAGTATAATCATGAACATTGTCACTTTTGAGTAGAGCTTGACGATTAATCGTATTTGCCAATTGATTAATGGACAGGTTTATTAATCTAAACTTTAGATTAATGGGTTATTAAACAAACCTCTTCCCCACTTTCTCTTACTAGAAAGAAGTTTGTGTTTGCCTCACTTTTTTATTATTGTAAAGATAATCTATACATTTTCTACTTGTAGAATGAATTGGTAATGCTGACCAAATACCACCATGTGGTCACCATTTTGTTTTCAAAATATTCACTAATTCTACACTAATCTGAAAATCAATTAAATTTATAATTAGATAATGAAAACACTTTTTGCTATCACCAATAATAGTAATATTTTATTTAAAACATCAGGATTACAGTAAGCCAGTTTGTTTCTATATTGTTTGAATAAGATAAATATAAGAAATATGGGAAAAAAGATTTTATTGATGAGAATATTTTGCCATTGCCTTCCACAATTATTGTACAGTAAACCTAATTAAAATTATCTTATTCAATTGTTTTATTTCTTGAACATTGCAACCAAAGTATATCTATTTAAAAAATAAACAGCATATAAACAAAGACAAACATAAAAAAAATCTAATTTTTAAGTATTCTCCAGTCGTGTGATACCTGTTTCATACTGATGTATATTCCCGTGTCTAGGTCAGGCCTCGACAAATATTTCCAGATCTAGGGGCCAGCCCAAAACTCAGAAGCCAGGTGTGGCTAACCTAACTTCACTACTGTTTGTACCGTGAAATGGGGGCTCCACTAGTGCCTCAGTTATCTGCGGTTTTTCTTTTCTCCAAGGTTTTTTTTCAAAACAACTGTCCGATTACAATTCTAGACAATAATTTACATGTTTTGGATAAATTGTCACTCAGAAATTAATTTTGGTTACAAAAGTACAGGTGTTGCATGATATCCAGGATTTTCGTGTGCAGGATCTGGTGTGCATTCAAATCGTAAGTCGGCCTTGTCTCTCTTATTTTTAGCTGTTAAGACAGGAATACAGAATATTTGTAGCTTGGTTAACTTTATTTGATTAGTGATTAAAACAACACAAAAAATACACATTAAGATTTCTTAAAGATTTTGCTCAACCTCAGTTGTCTGCTGTTCTATGCTGCACGGTAGGCGTACTTGTCATAGCGTTTGTTGACTCGCATTCAAAATTTTATTGAGCTACCATTTCATGAATTTATGTCAAGTTTGGTATCAAACAGTAGGTTATAATTTAAAAATAAATATTAAAAACAGTTAAACATAGATTTTTTGTGTGTGTGTGTCACATGGTATGTTGAATGTAGGATTGGTTCAGATTAGATGTTTGTGATGTCAAAATACTATACCTCTAGTTTTATAAGAATTAGGAACTCAAATCACCGATATTGAAGAGCTAGAATATAAAATAAGAACCTCTTTTTTATTTAGAGAGATATTACTCATCTAATGAATCAAACGCAGTGGCACCCCACCCACCTCTTTCCAATTTTGGAAATGCTCCCTTATATACATTTCTATATATGACATGAATAATCAATCAAGAACTCAATGTCCTCCTAGTGGCTTTGTTAGCCATTTTAAAGTCTTAGGACACCATCTCTTTCTTTCGAACCAAAATTTCAAAGAGGTAGGGTGTGTCTTTAGTTTGCTCCAAATTTCATTTTTTTTTTTAGACTGTAATACAGCCTAGTTACTAAGCTTAATACATTATAGTGGAATTCTATGGTATTGATATAGTAATTTATGATTTTTTGGTTATTCAATTAACCATTCAAAAACTTAAAAAAGGGAATTTTTTTTTTTTTTATTTT